GGTAATTCCCCCCAACATGGGCACAGGGACGCGCAGTGAGGGGTAATTCCCCCCCACATGGGCACAGGGACACACAGTGAGGGGTAATTCCCCCCACATGGGCACAGGGATGCGCAGTGAGGGGCAGTTAACTTCCCCAGACATATATGCTTAGGACCCCCACCCTGTAGTTGCTAAAGACTATGCCATAAGGGAAAATGCAAAGGATGGTGGTGGGCACAGCTCCTACACTGTGCTATGAAGTGAACTATAATCTCTATTCCCCAAAGCTAAAGGGAGAAGGGAGAACTTTTCTCTCGGGAGACTTTCCTCACACGTCCAGTTGCTGTCTCTGTACCTGCTAGCAAGTCCACAATGTAGAGAATGTGATCTAGACCTTTTTTGTGCTCCTGTCTCTCTCGCTCGCAGTAGGGAAGTCCATTTCATAAGACAGAACTCTTTCTCCTGCTCCTATGCTTGAGGAATGTGGGCCTAGGTATTGTACTTGTGTTCTGATTTATGACTCCCTAAGAGAATCGGCCTCCTGTTAGAAACAACCCCTGCAGATGTAATTTATTTACTTGCTTTCCCCCCTCTGTACCTGATAAGGAGGAGAGAAACCAAATAATAATCCTCTATAATATTTATCTGTGATACATGGGGTGGGTTTTGGTTACATTCTCTGGTTTTCACTTGGCTCTGAAATACCTGGATGCTGTTGGCTGTGCAGTTACGAACATCAGATGTGCAAGCAAATATTTACACTTGAAAGTTAGGCCTGTTACTCCATCACTGCCTTGCTTTTTCTCTTAATGTGTTTTTTTTTTCTTTTTTCCCCTCTTCTCTCCCTGCTCTTAACTCCATCTGAGCAGATGACACCACCCCTATTTTGACTGCTAGTGCCAATTATGTGGCCGCTATGGAGCAGAGTCTCTTTTTAGTTGGTCTGGTTTAATTCTGCAACAGTACTTGTATGGGAATATACTGAATATTTTTATTCTCCAAAGGAAAGAAATATATAGAGGTAGACAGGGGTGAGGTGTGGCTTGGTATGTGTAGCTAATTGAGTTTTTATCGTTTATCCAAATGTTGTCCTGCTGTTTTTTTCTTACGATAATTTGTGTAAGAGTAGCCATTGCATTACTTTTTTAGCCTGTCTTGTATCTTCTCAGAGTCATAAAGGAGGCCAGCTAAGCCCACAGAGCAGAGGAGTAAATTCTGGCCTTGATTTAGCCACAGGTGCTTGGGGTTGGATTCATCTCAGCTATCTGTAATCTTCTGAAAATTAGGTATTTAGTCTAAGCTAGGTTTCCAGGTGCTCCTTACTGTCCAAAGGAAGACAAAAGTCTCCCTTAGGGTGATTTTATCCTTTTCTGTTAAAGGTAAGTAAGGGGATTTGGCTGTTTTTAGTGACTGAAGGAGTCTAGATTATTTTTTTAGGTGGCAAAAATTGCAGAGTTATGTCTATTTTGGTATGAGAGAGAGGAAGCACTGAAAGGGAGGAAGAGTACGGGACATTTTTGTGATCTGGCCTGTGAGCTTCCTGCATTACCTGAGAGGTTTAAGGCAGGTGAGTGTCTTGCTGAGTTCTGGGGTTGCTAGAAGCATGTGAAGTACTCCTTCTGTAGGGTAGTACAAGCTTCTAATTTGGAAATTGTTAGTAAAATTGTTTTTCTCTAGGTTCTGTCGTATGATGTTAAAAGATCATAATTTGATGACTCAACAGTCTTTCCACCAACTTGTGCAAAAGAAACCATTTTTTCCATCTGCAGTGTGGCATAATGCAGGTAAATAGTAGTCAAAAAATGAAGAGATGAGCATTGTGAGTTTTTATGTCTTGTGGTAATGAAAGCTTGCTGCTCTTTCTGAAATCTGAGTGTGATAATATTCCCTAGGTGGTTTTTAATGAAGTGCTAGTGCATTTGGATGTTTGGAGCGTGGGGAGAAGATGTGGATGGCTCACAGTGTGCTTGATTATATGTGTTTTTTCTGTGTTACTCAGCTACCAAGGCTTACAAGGGGCTTTGTTGGTGCAAAATATTATTTGGGCTTTGATGCATTTCTTAATGTCTATCTTAGTGTAAATGTATCCCTTGTGAAGGGCTTAATGTTGCCTTCTGTCCTGCTTCAGCTGCTGAGCTCTGCCAGGTAAAATTGCTGACCGTCCAGATAGAACTTAGCAAGGATGAAATCGAAGCCATTTGTTCTTAAAGCTGCAATATTTTTTTTTAATTTTCCCCCTTTTGAACACGCATCCATGTGTGGTGCATTAATGGCATTCTTCATTAATATTATCTGCAACTTGGTATTACCTTGAAAAAGCACTGTTTAAGATTGAGTTTAGGTAGGCTGTAATGCTCAGAGAACAAAAAAACCCCAAACCTGTGAAACTTGCACCACAGAAAAATATTGTGCTTTTGCATCTGCCTGAGGGATTTAGCAACTGCTCTCCGATGCTGTAGCAGAAAGAGTCTTAAGACAAAAAAATTCTGCAGGTGCTGTTGCATGGAATTGGTCACAAATTGAAATCTTACTTAAATTAGTCTGCTCAGGCAGAAGTTTCTGTTTAATTTTGATTTCAGAGAAATCCAATCTTTTCTAGTCCCGCGCCATTTTTTCTATTTCAGTTGTAATCAACAGGCAGACTCTGATGAGTAGACTTAATATTTTGCCTGCTTTTGCAAGTGTCCTACTGAAATCTGCCTCTGTTTGGTATCTTCTTCTTACCATGAGCAGATGGCAGAACAGAATAATAAGCAGGTACACACAGCATTCTGCAGAGGCTTGAAAGAAATGATCTAGAAGTTAGATGTAAATACAGCCAGTTACCAACTGCTCAATAATAAATTTCAAACAGGTTGTTCACAGCTGTGCAAAGAACTATCCAGGTTAATTAATGATTGAAAAACCTGGCCTTAGGAAGGCAGATCTTCAGCTGCAGAAGGCACTTTTAAATTACAGCAGCTACCCACATGGACACCTCTTCTGAGAGCTGATACAGCCGTGTGTGATAGTTTCACTGGGCCAGCCCTTGTCCAGCAGCCAACACAGCCCCTCACCCACTGCCCCCAGGGGACAGGGGAGAGGATTGGGGCAAGGGTAAGGAGACTCGTAGGGTGAGATAAGAAACATTTAATAACTGAAATAAAATAAAAATTTAAATAATATTAATATTAAAGTAGTAGTGATAATGATAACAGTAACAAAATATGCAAGTGAGTGACACCCAGTGCCATTGCTCACCACCCACCGACCGAGCCCGGCCTGTTCCCAGATCACGATCCCGGAGCAGCGACAATCCCGACCCGAAACCGCAATCCCGGGAGAGCCAGAGCCCGAGCCAAAGCCAGAGAGAGCAAGAGAGGAAGAGCCCCTCATGGATCTCCTGCCCATGGGGGACAGGAGATGGAACAGCCCCTTGGCAGAGCCCAGTGCCCATGGAGCTGATCCCTGTCAATATTCCTCACCCCCTGAGATCTTGCGCTTGCAGACGGACAAACTCAAAGTCCTTCAGTGCCAGGGACACAAATGCAACATGGGGATGTTCTCAGCGTTTCTCTCCTAACAAATCCCAGCTGAACCCAAACCCCAGCGCTGTTGTAGCTACTAAAGAGAAACCCAGCTCTGTCCCAGCTAAAATCCAGGACCAGCTGTTTGTGGTTCAGGGCGTTTCTAGATGAACAATGTATGATTGCTGATAGTGACCCATTGCTTTCAGAAAGTGGGCAGAACATATCCCTTTGACTCCATCCAAGTTCCCTGTTGTTGGTTATTTGTAAACTACACTGTTACACTGGGTGTGATTTTGGATGCCAGCTGGATCTGGAAGATGAGTAGTTCTTCCACCTCCATGGATAAAGCTGACTAGTTGCTTGCTCTATCAGGATTATTCTTTTCATGTTAAAGCTAAATACTTCTATGCTGTGTCTTTTTTTTTTTTAAATAAAAAATTAAAATAAAATAATAGGGTTTGTATACTTTACTGTTGTGTTTGTTAAAGTCAACTGGGTTGTTACCACGACAGACACGTGCAGTAACAATTTTGCAATTTATAAATAGTGTGATTTGTCATCTAACGCTAGGGAGTCATGAGCAAATGGCAGTTCACGAATATGAAAATGTCAGATCTTCTTGCTGCTTTAAATCTCTCTATTGCATTTTTTTTAAAGTTCTGTGAGCTTCTTTCTCAAGTGTTATTTATTTATAGATATTAGTTCCTAGAGATTTTTGTTTTTAAAATGCATTTTTTCTTTCCTGAATGTTCATATATAATTGCGTTACTTGATGTGCAGGGAGAGTTAGCCAGACTATCACAGGAACGTTAGTAAAAATTAACCTTTTAAATATCTTTACCAGTGAATAATTTTACTTACAATTTTTTGGTCAGTTCAGTTTCTGGAGGATAAGTGATGGCTTACAGGAATTTTTCATGCTGTGGAAAATATTATGACCAGGGTGTGGTTCACTTTAACTGTTGTTATGCTTGTTTTTCTTTTCTTATTGTGCTGAAAAATGACATAAAAACCAAACCGTATAAATGATGTGTGTCTTTGAGAGAGGGTTTGTAAAACTGATCATGCTTTGAACAGGAAGTGATAATGCTGGAAGAGGGAGTTCACAGCATTTGAGGATCAGAAAATTAAAAAACTGAATACACGAAGGTCGTAGAAAGTGGGGGTGGTACTGGCCTCATGCAGTTCGACGCTGTTGCAATAGGATGCTTTTTAGTAAATAATAGTTAGCAAAAGAAGCAAAGAGAAGGTTCCATTTATCTCCTTGTTTCCTGTGAGATAACATTCCTGTGTTTATCAGTCTTCCTGTCAGTTTGGATGCTTTCATGGAACCCCGCTGCATTGTGTTTTTAATGTATGGATGCTGCACAGGCTGCTGTTTGCTGTAGCGCAGTGATCACCCTCGTCTTGGCTTGCTAAGTAATTGGGATCCTGGACTTTTGTTTAAGCTGCTTAAGTTTAATTGCACTATTTTTCTTCTTTTTTTTTTTTTTTAAATTTCTAGTAAGAGGCATGTTTATTCAAACTCAGGACACACCAAACCCAAATAGTCTGAAGTTTATTCCAGGGAAGGAGGTGCTGGAGTCGAGGACTATGGAGTTTTCCACGCCAGCTGCAGCATTTTGTTCACCTTTAGCAAGGTATTATTACTAAACACGTCATAATTTGTTTGGGGGACCAGTATGGGCTGTGTGTCTACAACTGATGTTTTTAAGCACGGCTTCTGATCATTCTGCTCTTCCTTATCCTCAGGAGCAGCTTGGTTGGATTTAACTTTTTTAATGCCGTTTTACTTGTGCATAAAATTAGGGCTGGGAAGATTGTCGTTACTAAAGTAGTCTTTCTGTGTGTCCGCACTCCTCATGGCTGTATCGGAGCAGGATGCATGATGGTCTAGTTTGTGTGGCTGGATTGAGTGCTATTATAAATCAGTATTCTTGAACAGTTGTTACTTCACCAGAGAGACCTCTGTCCCTAAATTTGCAAAATCATTCCCATCAGAACACTCTTAATAGTTACTTGGAAATCATGCAACTCTTCAGAATTGGGAAATAGACAACATAAGGAAGTAAATAGCCCTCAAATGAATTCAGTGTAGTAGCTTGCTTGTTTTGGTTGATGCTGGTGCTAACCTGAACTTCAAAGCGAAGGGATTTTTCCCTTCACAAAAGGTTTATAATATTTCTGTCAAAGGAAAGCCAGTCTTGGCTGATTCTTTCAGGCTGGATCTATAACAGGTCTTGGAAACCACAGCTTTCAGTACCAAAAATCATAGAAATCATAGAATCATAGTGGTTGAAAAAGACCTTTAAGATCATAGAGTCCAGCCATTGATCTGTCACTATCAATCCCATCTCTAAACCATGTCCCTCAGCACCTTCTCTAGCCGTCTTTTAAATACCACCAGGGATGGTGACTCCACCACTTCCCTGGGCAGCCTGTTCCAATATTTGACTGCCCTTTCTGTGAAGAAATTTTTCCTAATATCCAACCTGAACCTCCCCAGGTGCAACTTGAGGCCATTTCCTCTCATTCTGTCACCCGTTACCTGGGAGAAGAGACCCACCCCCACCTCTACACCCTCCTTTCAGGTAGTTGTAGAGAGCAAGAAGGTCTCCCCTCAGCTTCCTCTTCTCCAGACTAAACAACCCCAGCTCCCTCAGCTGGTCCTCATAAGACTTGTTCTCCAGACCCTTCACCAGCTTTGTTGCCCTTCTCTGGACAGCTGCAGAGCCTCGATGTCCCTCTTGCATTGGGGGGCCCTGAACTTAACCCAGCACTCAAGGTGCGGCCTCACCAGTGCCAAATACAAGGGGGCAATCGCTTCCCTACTCCTACTGGCCACACTATGGCTGATCCAGGCCAGGATGCCATTGGCCTTCTTGGCCACCTGGGCACTCTGCTGGCTCATGTTCAGCCAGGGAAAAAAAAAAAAAAAGTGTAATCTGGAGTTAGAATCCCTGAGCAGATAATAGATTCATATCATCTTGGTATAGAAGGGGTTTGGAGCACCACCACAAGTCTCTGGGAATATTTGGAAGTGTCCATTTTGTTTGTCATTGCTGTCACATTAGTCTCTGAAAAGAAACTTAACCTTTTTATGTGGAGGGGCTTCAATCTGGGGGGTGAGATCCAGAAATGCTGCAGTAGATTAACTCTGCAGATCCCAGTTTAAGTAATCTTTGTGTATGTTGGAAGAATTATATGAAAAAGTAGAAGCTGTTTCTCGTGCCATTCTCTCCAGGAACTGGAGGGTTATCAAACATGCAACACTTGACGTTGCCAAAGGTCTCTTGTAGAGTTGTTTGGGAGCAAACAGGATCTTTACAAGCAAAGCTCTGTGACTTAAAGTAATAAATACAACGCGAAAGGTTTTTGAGGACATCAAAATGTGTTAGTGGAGTGCTGAAACTGTAGGATCTGATTGTGCCAGAATGCATCAGGTTGCAGAATACAATTGACTGTCAGAAAATGGCTTTTTGTTGTCATATATCTGCAAATAGATGATTTAATCAAAGATGTATGTGGTAGAATGTGTACCGCATATTGCGCAGGTTAATGGCAAAAAATTGTCTACTATATATCATTAAACCCCAGATTATGTTTTTTGTAAATGGAATACTCATTTATTTTAAAAGGGAGTATTCATTTTCCAAAGCAGTAATAAAAACTTTCTGAAGGGAACGGAGGGCAGAGGATTATTTAATTGATGTAGGATAGTTTGGTGTATTTGCATAATTTCATTATTTAAGTAACTTGAAAATCCATTTGGTTTAGTGATATAAAAGCCCAATACATGCATGGCTGTTTCATGTGTGGAAATTCTTTCAAGTAGGTATTGTGAAATCTCCTCTGTCATTTTTCATCGTGCATACCTTTGTGATAAGATTTCCAAGTTCTTCATTCATTGCATTTTTAATGTTTTCAAGTCTTGGAGATTTTTTAATATTTTGTAATTACCACAACACTCTTACAGCTGTATGCTGTATTTAACACTGAGTGATGATTTTGATGATTTTTAATTTTTTTTTTAAACTCTTCTCCTCAGGAGTAGAATAATTTATTTGTTCTGTATATGAATTTGTTGGGTTTTATTTAACGATTTGTGGAAGTTGGTCTTTATGTTCTCATTCTGCTTTTTATACTTAAAATATTGTCCAAAAAATGCTCTTTCCTGTCATCTAAGTTCTTGTCTAGCTTTGGATGTGTGCTAATATACCACCTGGTTGTTGGGTGCTGTATGGGCCATCTCAAGCAATTTAATATGAATCCTGAGCCTTTACTAAATCTTCACATTTTTGATGTGCTATACAAATGACTAAAAATACTGAAGATTGCTCACAAAGTGAGTTGGTGTGTTAAAGCCTTGTGGACTGCTTGGCTCTAATACTTTTATTTAATGGCAACAGAACTGAAGGCAATTTTTATTGCGCTCAGTTATTTTAAATAACTTGCTTTAATCTGAGGATCGTTCATTGTATTTGCACTAGTCCTACCTGAAACAATAGGTACAGCTAGCTTTGATGCTAATCAAGTAAGTTTTTGTATACAAAATATAATTTTGCCACCAAAGAGGAACTGGAGAGAGAATAACACTTTCACACATCTTGCAGAAAAGTCCTGTAAGGTGTGTTCAGTTTTACTACATACACTGCTTCACAGCAGGATCTCCTGGCTCTTACTAAGCTGTAGGTGAAGTAACTTCAAGTTTCTCTTAATGGTTCTAGTTTTAGTGCTTATTTTTGTCTAGAAATGTATTCTAGAACTTTTCTTCTGTGACAGATTAAATAAATCTTTGTGAGTTTGACTGAAATGTGTGTGCATTTTTATGGGGTTTTTTTGTTTGTTTTCCTAACAGACAGTTATTCAAAATTGAAGGAGTTAAAAGTGTTTTCTTTGGACCAGACTTTATCACAGTCACCAAGGTAAGCGGAACAGATTCAGATGTACTAAAAGATAAGCTGAGATTCAGCTGCCAAATAGATGGCCATAGAGAAGGTCCAGTCAGACTGTTGAACATGCAGAGTGATGTTCACAAGCGGCATAAAGGGAATTACCTTTAATATAAAAGGAAAAAAAAAACCCCACAATGTGTGGATAAGCACTGGAATAGGTTGCCCAGAGAAGCCGTAGATTCTTTGATCTTGGAAATGGTCAGCGTTGGACTGGATGAGGCCCTGTGCGACGTGGTCAGCTTGGCAGTTGGCTCTGTGTCGAACAGGACGCGGGACTAGAGAACGCTTCCACGGGAGGTGGTTGTATGAGCGGGATGGAGCGTGTTGTGGGCAGTGTTGTGTTTGTCCAAGGTGTGGAGCTCACGTCAGCAGAGATAAGGTGTTGCGTAGTATCTGTGCAGTTACACTCTTACTGTGTGGAGAGCACAGAGCAATTCAGTGAGTGATAATTTGACTTGTAATTAAACGGAACTGAATAATCTTGAGTCTCTGACACAGTTTGGTAAAAATATGTGTCAAATAATGTATTTAGGAGATAGTCTTTTTCATCTCTTTTTAGCTAGTACTTTACACAGAATCACAGAATGTCAGGGATTGTAAGGGACCTCGAAAGATCATCTACTCCAGCGCCCCTGCCAGAGCAGGATCACCTACAGTAGGTCACACAGGAACACATCTAGGCGGGTTTTGAATGTCTCCAGAGAAGGAGACTCCACAACCTCTCTGGGCAGCCTGTCGCAGTGGCCCATCACTCTCACAGTGAAAAAGTTTTTCCTTATGTTTACATGGAACCTCCTGTGCTCCAGCTTGCACCCATTGCCCCTTGTCCTACCATTGGGCATCACTGAGAAGAGCCTGGCTCCATCCTCCTGACATTCGCCCTGTACATATTTATAAACATTAATGAGGTCACCCCTCAGTCTCCTCTTCTCCAGCCCCAGCTCCCTCAGCCTTTCCTCACACAGGAGATGCTCCAGGCCTCTCATCATCTTTGTGGCTCCTCCGCTGGACTCTCTCCATAAGATTCCTGTCCCTCTCGACCTGGGGAGCCCAGAACTGGACACAGGACTCCAGCTGTGGCCTCACCAGGGCAGAGTAGAGGGGGAGGAGAACCTCTCTCGACCTACTAACCACACCCCTTCTAATGCACCCCAGGATGCCATTGGCCTTCCTGGCCACGAGGGCACAGTGCTGGCTCATGGTCATCCTGCTGCCCACTTTAATAGCACTCAGCTTGCAAACAAGGAAACCTTTCTGTTAACTGTTATAAATTGAGTCTTACTGAACTTTTTTGGCAAAGCTGGATTTGACAAAACTTTGAAATCAAATCCATGCATCAAACCTGAGAGCCCGTTATGATATTTTCAATATAAGAAGAATTTCTGCATAACACTGTTGTTATTATTAGGAGGCAGATACTCTGTTTTTATTGACTTTTTTCTTTTTTTTTTTTTTCCTTCTGGTTCTCATAGGAGAGTGAAGACCTGGATTGGAACTTACTGAAACCAGATATTTATGCAACTATAATGGATTTCTTTGCCTCTGGCTTACCTGTAGTTACCGATGAGGCACCTAGGACTGACACAGGTAAATGGAACTCTTCAGGAAGTGACCAGTATCTACCTTTGGGTTTAGTTTTTGTGACATACAGAAGAACCTCCACTTGTCCGTCAGAAAAGCATACAAGAGAATTTAAAGTGAAAACTGCTAAAATTAATACAGGAGAGAATTTGCAGAATGGGTGTGCTCTAGCGGAAGCACCGTCTAAAGGAGTTGCTTACCCATGAATATGAAGCCTGGTTCTCATTTGAGCCTGTGTTCACAGGATCTACGCTGAGCTCTGTGTTTTGGCAGTGTGGACCATGTTCTGTTATACTTTGTGTGTATGAAATATTTTTGCAGGTACTGAGGCTGTGTTCAGAATGTGGGGAGTTGCAGCATGTCCTTCTTGCATAGGCCACCTACAAAGGGTTTTATTTCCTTCCTTAAATCAAGAGTCCCCTGGTGTAATGTCCGTGTGTTAGTGATAGATTTATGGTCTTAAATGAAAAAGAAATAGTAAGAAGTCTTTTCCAAACTGTAATAGAAAGTAATCGAGACTGACTTAGAATTTAACTCAAGGGCAGTATTTTGCCTTTTATTTTCTCATTTGCAACTTAGCAACTTAAAAATTTTTTCCAGTGTTTTAAGAAAGATTATGACTATTGAATTCCTCTCTGCTCTGTTATATCTGGATTTAATTTCAGTATTAGTATAGACTTTATTTTATTTGAAAAAATTATCTTTAAAAACACTTCTGCGAGACTAACACTGAGCTTAAAATTGCATCCAAAGCTGCTAAACTGAAACATGTTCATAATTCTGCTGAATTTTTTAGCTTGCTAAAACTTTCCTTCTGAGGACCCTGCCTTAACCCATGCATCCTTATTGAATGCTTCCTCTTTATTTTTTCTTCCTTTTTTGTGTGTCTTTTACTGTATCGTAAAAGTGGCAGTATGATTGTCTGTTAAGGACTTTTTCTGTTGAGGACTCAACTGGTTTTTGTTGCTGAAAAACAGGGATGTTGCCTGGGATGTTAATAAGGATAATACAGAAAAAGATACTTATTCTGAATTAAGACTTCTGCCTTTTGTTTTCAGTCATCTCAGTAATGTTTTCATGCTACTTCCTTCTGCCATTATGGATATACAGTGTTTGTAATCCTATCAGAATTCTTCCCAAGTTCTGATTTACACATTTTTATTTTCTCAAGCTGCATCAGAAGAAGATGATGAAGTTGTACTGATGATTAAAGAACTGCTGGATACAAGAATAAGGTAAACCAGAAATATGACTGCTAGATGGAGTGAGTTAGTCTTGGGGTTTGGATTTTTGTAGGGAACAGTGCTTTTTCCTTTGGGTATGTGTGATTTCATGGTTCAGTATCTAGTGTGGGGGTTTAAAGTGCAAAACTGGTCAGAGTTGAGAATGCTGTTTCCTCTAATTGAAAACTTTCTGTCTAGTTTTTCTGTTTAAGCAAACTGTGCTGAGCAGAGTCCTTATTGCTGAGCAATTTTAGAACAGTGTATAGTCTTACCCTCCATAATGCATTTAAACAGGTTCATTTGGTTTAACCTGGCTATTTTTAAATAGTGAAAACAGCTCAATCTTTGCTTTTACAGTAACTTTTTTTTTCTTCTGTTGTATTAATCTTTGTCTTAATTATCCTTGTCCTTCCCTTCCAAGTATTCCAAAGTAGTTTATATTCTTGTATCGCACTCTAAAGGAAAATTTACGAAAGGGTTTCCCTTGCTGTCTGGGCTTCAGTGGATTTTGTCCTTGCATTCTGTTGCAATTTTATTGGTATTTTAACACAGCTTGAATTTAGAAAGTGGTGGTAACTAAGGAAGTCTCAAGAATGGCTATGGATCATGTTGTTTATATGAAGTATATTTTTATGCTCATTAATTGCCTTCCAAAGTGAACTGAAAGGAATAAGCAGCTTGACATTTTAGATGCAGGGGAAAATGTCTGATGTGTTTCTGAAACTGTGATACCTCATGGAGACCTCTTCCCCAGCTCACAACTTACAGGAACCAGGAACTTGTATGTGGGTCAAAATCATGGAATTCAGTTTAATTTTTACAGAAGTTGAGATGAACTTGGGCTTTTTTTATTTCATAGTTTTAGATGCTGAATTTGAAAAGTGTTATTTAAAAATACTGTTCAGATTATCCCACAGCTGACACATGATGCTGGTTAATTTTCACGAAAGAGAAGAGGGAGAAAAGCAGAAATAAGCTGGAATGCTTTTCCCAAGCTTATGTATTAAGTGTTAAAATGTGTGAAACAAGAATACTGTTGTATAAAGCCTTGGAAGTAACATTTGGGAGGCCCTGCTCTTGCTGACTTTGTGGTCATTTAAGCTCTGTAGGGTATGTTAGTCCTTGATTTCCCAGTGGCCTTTTGTAACGGTCACAGAATTTCTGCTCAGATTTCTGGTTTTCCCCTTTCCTCCTTGCCCCCATAGCCCTTGGTGGACACAGAAGCTGTTGATGACAGTATTAGCAGTACTGTATCTTTGTTTTAGAGCAGGTTAGTTTACAGAAGCTATGTATAAACCAATGGTATGTACAGAGCATTTACTGTTTAGCTGATCAAAAATGTGTGCAAAGAATATGTGCAAATCTTGTCAGAAGATGCAGGATGGCAGGAATGTAGATCTGAAGGGTTCTATAGTGTGTTTAAAAAGTTAATTTAAAATAAGAAAAATTGAATATTTAGTCATGTGCTTTGGCTTTCTGGAATGAGATGATTGGCTGTGTCGAGTTGTTAATTAATGTCTCCAATTCGTAGATTACTCTTAAGAGTGTAGTTCTCAAAAGAGTTATTTTGGAAATCAGTATAAAGAGCTTCTGTTAGAGTAACTTGATGGTTTGAGCTTGGTCTGGAAAAATATTGCTATGGGGATACAGTTACAAGGCTGGGCATTTGTTGCTGGTGACCAGGCTGCAGAGATGCTAATAGTACTGGGATGTGATCTTATCAGATGCTGGTTTCTTCACCCGTTAACAGGATTAAGCTTTTATCTAATCGGAGCTTTTTTTCAGTCCTGTGTAAACTGTGGTGAACTGCATATTTATGGAAGCGCTGTCCCTAGTCAGGTAACAGATGCCCATGCATCGTGTGGCAGGACACACACCTTTTATGTTTGGTCCATAACTGAGACAATCATTGTTGCACCATTACAAGGCAAACAGGAATTTCTTTGCAGGCTGAATCAAGCTCTGCTCTAAGGTGCTTACCCTCACCCTTGAAATTTAAATTACTTCTTCATATGCTGCTGCATTCTTTGCAAATATGTTTGGCTTAATGTCCTGCAGAAAAAACAGTAGCTGGCAATGTGAGAGAGTCCAGTCAACTATGAATTATTGGAAATTTGAACCAGGTGGTTGTAGAGAAAGAGGGCTTTACTTATTATTTCTTGACAGTTCTTTGTGTGTATTAAATTTAACTTTACTAAAAATTTCTGGAAGGAAACATATTTCAGCTATACTTGCTTCAAATTGAATATCGTATTCCATCAGGCCAACAGTGCAAGAAGATGGTGGTGATGTTATTTATAAAGGCTTTGAGGACGGGATTGTGCAGCTGAAGTTGCAGGGTTCGTGCACCAGCTGTCCCAGTTCCATCATCACCCTGAAGAACGGGATACAGAACATGCTCCAATTCTACATCCCTGAAGTAGAAGGCGTGGAACAGGTGGGTTGGTGAGAGATAATACCTGTTAAATGGAAAAGATGATCTTTATCCCTTTCCAGCATGGACAGGTTGGCAGTTTAAGCAGAAGTACAGGATTTATAGATGCAATTTTTCCAAGTCAGGAAAAGATCCAGAACTGTGCAAAGTCCTGTACAACTTCATGCACCAAAACATGCTGGAGACTGCCTGGTGGAAAGCAGCTTTGCGGAAAAGGAGCTGGGGTCCTGGGGGATGCTGAGTTGAACTTGAGCCAGCAGTGTGCCTTGATGGCAGAGGTGGCTGACCATATCCCGGGCTGTACTAAAGGGAGTGTTGCCAGCAGGTTGAGGGAGGTCATCTCTCATCAGACTCTCTCCAACATGCCCACATCCCTCTTGTACTGAGGAGCTTGGAACTGGACACTGTTTTAGCCAGTGATTGTTACCTTTGTGCTTTGGTGACTTTGTGTGATAATAAGGGAAAAGCTTCTGTCCCCTAAAATGCAGATTCTTTTGCTTTCTCATTAAAAATCTGATACACTGTAGTGATTGTTCTAGTGGCTTTTGTAATAACTTGACCAGCTCCTATTACTTCAGCCACATTTCCTCCTGGCATTCTTGATTGCAAGTTTTTCTTATCTTCTTCGTGTGACCATTGTCATTCAGCAGTACAGAATAACTGCTGTTCTCCTTGGGTCCAGCAAGGATTCAGTGTAATGAACTCTCTATGCAGTCCTACGGGACTGTGAGTTTACACTGTTTACCTAAGCTACTTCTGCATTTCATTTCAGGTTGTTGACGACGATGACGTGGAGAAAGAAGCAAATTCCACTTGAGCTAGCATCATCTGTGGCCAAATAAGTATTTACCTCTTGGTGTATGTAAAGTATCTTTGTGCTGAGGAACAACCAAATTTGCCTTTCTTTTCAGAAAAATAGTTGCACTTATAGCTGTGAAAATGTATCATCAGTTTGAGCAGTTTGTCCACTAATTTATTATATGCCCCGCATTCAAAAAAGAATCCTTTCGCTCTCCTTTTTACTATGTCTTATGAAAGAAATGGTGGGCTTTAAACATGGTGGCGCGTCTCCCCATTGTTCTTTCATACAAAAAATTCAAGACTGAAGAAAAGAGGAGGTGGAAGTAAAGTTTCTTGACTGTTTTTTGTGCAGTGTAAATATTAAATGTTTATTCCCCCCAACTTCCTTATGGGGCTTGCAGGACTGTCTGCCCTTGCTCTGTAATTGGGAAATTCAGGGATGTTAATTTTATCAAGTCTTGTTAAAAAGCTTTTGATTCATATCAGTTTTTTGTGTGAAAAATAACTCGTAACTTCAGCTGTTCATTTTAGAGGATGTAATATTGCCATCACTTGTGGATAGTTTCCTACTTGTTCACTACCACTGTGCAAACAATAGCAACAGAAGCAAAAAATGTGAGTTGTTTGTTATAAAAATAATATATTTCAAACTAAACACTAGAAGATGATGATCCTTATCAGCTTTAGTAAGTACAGAGGCTAATTAGCCTATTTGGAAGTAAAATTATTCTGCCACTATTAGTGGTCTGTTTAAACTCGCAAAAGATGATTTCTTAACATAATCCTCCAAAATCAAGATGAATGTGCAGTGCTTAAGGGCACAAATTACATTTGTAGGGTAGCAAAGAAAATGGGTGTGTTTACCTATGCCATATCCTGTTTGTTCCTTCTGCCGTGCCAAAGAGTGCAGTGTACGTGTAACTTGGCTGCCCTGGCTGAGCGAGGGAAGACGTGGCAAGAGCAGAACACATTCCAGTTTTAGAGACTATGGGAAGAGAAATTTTTATTGTCCTGTGAAATACGTAAATTGGGCTTTGCACATACTTCTGTTTACTTGAGTGTGTAGGACTTAATTTCTTCCTGGTGCCTAGCTTTAACAGATGGCTTTGCTAACGTAAATACTATTTCTTCTTTGTGCCACTGCAATCGAGCTGAGTTTGCGGTCGTTATTTGGCTTATGGTTATAGTAGCATTCCCTGCGTGCAAGGATTTCACAGCCACGGGTATGTTCCTCTCTTTCACTCCTTGCTGGTGTAATTCCACTGAGTCCCTAAACATTATCAATGAAGTCAGCGGAGATTTTTTTGTATAGCATGCAGCTCAGCATGTCGTAGCCATAGACTTCATATTACTTATTAGAAATTTGAAAATAAGTATTTTGAGCAAGATATTTCTTCAGCTTTCATGGAAAGTAATAACCTACAGTCATTCAAATTACCCACTCAGGATGTGGAAATTGGTTTGAAATTACTGTGTTTTCTTTATCCTGTTATGAAGTATGCAGTGCCTGATCTTACAAGTATATCGATGACAAAATTCCCCTCGAGGTAGGCTCAGACTGTCCAAAAGAGAGCTTGTACAAACATTATCGCCATGTTCTTTGTCAGCAAACCATAGAATGGCAAGTAATGTTTCTGGTTTCTCAAAAACAGAGCTTTTTAGGCCTAATTTGTCACTTCAATGCACTATATAAGCCAGAACTTAAACAGCAAAGTAGCTGTTTTGTGTGTTAAATAAAATGTTATCTCTTAAAGATGTGGTCTTTATGCTTCAAATAAGCAGTACTAGTCTTTCCCAGGTACAGTAAGGATCCAGTGCTGCTGCTGTCTTTTTATTTCCAGTCTTGTTTTTAATGGGGTTTCAATTTGTACAAATAGGACCGAATTAAGCCTGTACGTACCGAGACTGAAGATTAAGCGTCTTATGATCTTGAGACTGAAGAGATTCCATGTCCAGCCTGTATCCTGTGTGTCCTCAAGTTCCTCAAGCTTTGTTGTTGAGAGAGAAGGGCACAACACTTGCATCCCAGCCTCTTTTTATCTGTTCTGTCCCACTAGAAAGTAAGCTGTTTAGGACAGTGGTTGCATTTCTGTGGCATAAAGTAATGGGGGGGGGCCTCTCCAACTCCGGATAAACAAAAGCAGAGGGAAGGGGTTAAGTGCCAGTTCTCACTTTGGGAACAAAACAAAACCTAACTGTATTCACAGCATTAACAATAACCATAAACTCTAATACTATGACAGCCCAATGTGATAAAATCATTAGCTGAAATCATTAGGAGTTTCTGTGTGAACCTTCTAAGCTCTGGAACAGCTTAGTCCATGGAAAGAATCCCTGTTAGTGAGAGGTGTCCTGTCTCCTCCGCTCACTCAAAAGACCTTTCACATTCATAGAATCATAGAATCATAGAATGGTTTGGGTTGGAAGGGACCTTAAAGATCATCTTGTTCCAACCCCCCTGCCACTAGACCATCCAG